CACACACACACACACACACACACACACACACACACACACACACACACATACATACACACACATACACACACACACACACTCACTCACTCACTCCCTCACTCACTCACTCACTCACTCACTCACTCACACATACACATACATACATACATACATACATACCATCATCATGGAAATTCATACGATCTTCACAGTAGCAGCATTCACACTTCAGTCGGCTCCCACACTCGGGTACCGCAAACCTATCAAAAATTAAACACCAAAGAAGAACTCACCTTCACCAGCATCAGACGCAAAAGAATGTGTGTGCTAAGCCTTCTATCGCAAGTGTGTTCTCTTTATTGTCACGAATGCTGAAGGTAACGAAGCAGCCATGTAAATCCAAATAAAATTTGACGATTGATAGGTCGCTATATATCGACCTCGTGAGTATCGAGCGAGAAGAATATACCAAACCCTAGCACACTTACGTACAGTGAATACTCACTTGAAGATCATGTCCTAACGGAAGGTGATTTGATGATAAAACAAATACGTCGAGAGCCGAGTATATGTGGTAGGTGCAACGACCTAAGCAGCAAAAAAAAATTTACCATTATATATTGTAGTCGTGAATGGCGGATACTTCGGTGATATACAAGTAGTAACACGCAAGCTATACAGATAGGGCGATATTAACAGCAACAGCAGTATTTACTGGTGTCTAACTAAACGGTGACGCATTGGTGAAAACACACTACTTTATTGAACCAAAAGCAAAATTATATAAAATTGGGACCTTCATAGTGAATTTTGCAGCAGTTATATACAAGTCGGTATTCACAAACAAATATTCACTCCATAAATTACCATCTACAAAGCATAAAGATACACACATGTACTTCTATATAATAAAATACATAACACGATGCTCACAACAGTACAGTCACACTTCAGTCAGCTCCCATACTCGGGTATCGTAAACAATTCAACCATTAAACATCGAGAAGCAACCTAACACCTTTACCAACATCAGACGCAAAATAAATAGTGTGTCAGGTCTTCTGTCGCAAGCGTATTTCCCTTATTTGAACACGAATGACTGGACGCTTCCAAGCAGCCATAGCAGATCAAAATAACAGATGACGATTGATAGGTCGATATATCTAACGACCCCGTGGGTATGATGGGGTTCAATTTGTAGTGTCTGCATTTCAAAACTACCCACCATCATTTACTGTGTGGTGTAAGATGAAAATAATTGTACTATAATAAATATAGGTAAATTTATACTACATATACGGGTATCTATTATGAGGATACATGTAGCTACACATATAATACATTCTTACTAAAAGACGCACAATAAAGCAAATCAGAAATATTTCATTCTGGGTATAGCTGAGTACATACACAAAACTTCAGATTGACGGTCACACATGGTCACGCCAGAGAGAGCATGTAACACAGTACATTAAAGGGTGTACATCATGTATCAAGAACGAATTCACAAATAAAAGAGGCTACTACCCATTAGAATCGATAGCAGCCACATTTCCCGGCGATAAGATTCAAGTGACTACAATAATCTCTTGATAGACTTAAATAAAGGTAACACGTACAGTTTAGTTTGGCTGGATGTACACTCATCATACATCACACTCAGACCAATGATGGACAAATCGGCAGCTAACGTAGCAATAAAGCTGGTATCAAAAATATGTGAACATGAATTCCCACATGTCATATAGACGGATCACGGCACACAACATGTGAATGTCATTACCTCGAAAATCTTCGAGCAAGCACCGTCACAACATATGGTGTTCAGACCATAGCAACCAACGGTAGTGGGAGCAAATGAGCGATCACATAGAGACCACATACCTTTATTAATGAAATTCATTCCACAAAATCCAGGTAATTGGTTCTCACGTCTTTCGTTCGCCCAAATGGGACACAATCTGCGTTCATTAAGACACAAGTCACCCCGATTAAATCTGTACTTTGGAAAAAGGTAAACCCAAACCGACTATAATGCGTCAGTAGACGAACTTGGAACGGCAATATCATGGAAAACGCGACTGAAAATTTTAAACGTGTCGATCAGACCACAACTAGACACTAATGCTGCGCAATACCACGGCAAAATGTGCGCAGCATATGACGCAAAATACCAAATGAAATACGTACACTTCCAGGAAGGGGACTTTGTATTGATTCGCTATCAATGCGAAATGAATAAAATGACAGCACCATATGACGGACCATACTAAATAGTAAGAAAGGAGGGCCACAGGTATTTTGTCAGTATCCTTGATGGGAATGAAGCCCCAGAATATCCTAACTCGATCAGGAATCGGACTAGTCAAGAAGGTCATTGCTTCGGAGGAATTCACAACCAACAGTCAAGTCAACCCGCTGAGGAAACGCCATTCTCCTCGATATTAAACCATCGGCCATTCAACAGGCGATAGATCGCAGGAGTACCCACTGTATATGCATACAATAGACAGATGGGGAGCGTACCTGAACGCGTGAAACAGACATCGCAGATGTCAATATTCTTATACTTTACCGATAACGCACCAAATGCAAGCGAGGGTAATCCAGGCCGACAAAGTCAACAACAACTAGCACTGACGAACGATCAGCGAGAAACGGAAAGCGTACAAGGCGGAGAACTTGGACAGGTTTCACTGATACAGAAGAAGAAAAAACACTCCCACTTTTCTTACCTTGAAGCATTATTCGCTCACAATTATGAGGGATAAGAGCCAAAGAGTCGGTTTTAGAACTACCGTGGAGATACGATTTCTCAAGCCCAAGTTGATATCAACCGAGAGCACGGGTGAAGACTGACTCTGATGATCGTGGATCAGAACTCCCCGTAATAGTATATATCTATGTGATATGTATGATTAGATGATGGTGGCAGGTTTTTCATGTTAACCCTATAAGGGAAATATTTCCCTGTACAAAAACACCACCCTAAGATATTCTTGTACTGTAAGGTGTCACTTTTCGCTCCTACACAGGCTCAGAAGTACAAAGTTGGGGGGCTGTAGCATCTAGGGACCAGAATATCGAAAACACAAACCCAAACCTAAGACCACAGAATATCAATACTGAGTTTCGAGTCAGATCAAAATATTTCTGATATTAGAGCCATCAGAAATATAGGAATAATCTCATCTATTTCAAGATGGCAGTAGCATACATTCTTATTGACCAATGGGAACGATTGGTTATCGACTAGTAGCGTGAGCGGTAGAACCGGTAAGTTGAACCGGGGCCCCAGCGTGCGAGAGAAATATTAAAGTAGGAATCTAAGTTTAGTGAATTAGAAGTACAACCCACAAAGAACCATTCGCTTCTCTCGAACTATGGGACGTTTCTTAGCTGAGATAAACGTATTTGAGAATAGGTCAATTGTTTCCTTTGGTCGTATCCTTTCAGCTACTCTATACACTCTACAAAGAGACAGCCCAGATCATTCTTACACAAGCTACCACTGCTAAATGTTAATTGACTTACATTACTTTATATCTATTCCAATATGGTAGAATAACCCCATCAAAGTTTACAATACTAAAATATGAGCCGCCTCCACAAAACAATTTTATAAGAAGATTTGTTCAGACAGAGCTACTGCTAACGAAGATAGAATCATGCTCGAGTACCAAAAAATACTGTAAAAGGTACGGGAATATACATTGGAATCTTAAGCAGTTTATATCTCAAGTTTACCACGAATGCAGTGATGGGGAAGTAATCCGGATCAAGCGCTACGGGTACGCATCTATGCAAAGTATATATGAAGACAGCTGAAAGTGCCCGCACCCAAATCACCGGGTTTGTATGTGATTCACATGTGCAGACACGCCCTCCAGCTCCAAAAGGTGACGTGTAGTTGGGTGTGACTGTGGATCGTAGAGCTCCGCCAGGAATCGCCAAGGCGATTTCATCTGAAGGATCGTCGCTTGAGGTTCCGGGTAATACTCTGAATTCTCTGACAGTATTGCCAGTCGTTTGGTGTGGGACATTAGATTCCCACACCAGATTGCTGCAGTATATAGAGACACCACTATTACTGCTGTCGTTCGTTGACTGTGTATTTCTGTAGGACATGACCAACCTGCAATACTGGCGGAGTAAGCAGTTATGTCATCTGATCCCACTGTTTATGGAAGGCATGTAGCTTAAATTTTCAGCGCTCCATGGTGTGCCAGGTGTTGGGAATAAGTTACTGGGATCAGATCTTTGTCGGATACTCTTATCCTCTATTCTTGATAGAAATGGAGAATATCTCGTGAACGAACTGTCCAAGTAAAGCAGTGTAGGCTCCCTCGTCGACCTAGCTTGTCCGCTGTCAGGTTGAGTTTGCCCATAAATTATGCCAAAGCGAAATGCTATTGGATATTAGTAGTCAGGCAAAACTTTGCCAGTCGTCGAAACTGTGAGTTCATTGGGCTCGAAGCGCTGCGTCTCTTTTGTAAGCTATGCATTTCTGTCGATGAATTTGTCACCCCGAGCCATATCTCTCTGCTGTCGAAATTGCAGAGAAGTGTAAA